AAACAACATATTTAAAACAAAAAATCAATAACACAGTCAAATCAAGATAACTTGTTCAAATTTGCCATGCATATAGATTTATATTCCTTGAATGAAAATATTGTATGCATGTGCAGGAAGTACAGAAGATGGCCCATTTCATAAGCATACCTGGATCTTTTATGTGTCAGGTGTAAAGCACCGATACACGGGATCTCGCTTTAAAGTCCCATCCGAAAGACTGTTGGTAATGTTAGGGAGGAGCGGTGGATCGAACTTAAGACTCCTGGATTATATATATGTATTAACCGCCTGACCACAGATCCGCTCCTAAATAAATCGCTAGATTCCTAGATGTCCTAATATTTATAGACAAGCTTCTGTCATTGTACGGTATATACAGCTATGTATGTACCTCTGGTGCATCTTCTGCTTCACTACATGAGGTTCTACATTTGATTGTTAAAATAATTAAGTGTTAAAATAATTAAGTAAAAAATTTAGACCACAAGACTGCTAGCACGCTGAATTTGTACCGCTAGCCCTCTACACTGTAAGCCCGCCCACGCCACACTGTCAGGTAATGTATCATTACGTTTTAATGTTCAATCAGTAAAGTTTTAGGGTTTATCCCGCTGGCCCGACAGCCCGCCCAGTTCACATTGCTAGCCCGCTACACTGTTAGCCCGCCCACTTCACACCGCCAGGTAATGTATCATAACGTTTTCATTTTCAATCAGTTAAATTTTAAAGTTTAGCCCGCTGGCCCGCCAGCCCGCCCACTAAACACTGCTAGCCCGCAACACTGTTAGCCCGCCCACTTCACACTGCTAGAAAATGTATCATGATGTTTTAATGTTGATTCAATTAAGTATTAAAGTTTATCCCGCTGCCCTGCCAGCCTGCCCAGTTCACACTGCTAGCCCGCTACACTGTTAGCCCGCCCACTTCACACTGCCAGTTAATGTATCATAACGTTTTCATGATCAATCAGTTAAGTTTTAGAGTTTAGTCCGCTGGCCCGCTGGCCTGCCCAGTTCACACTGGTAGCTCGCTACACTGTTAGCCCGCCTACTTCACATTGCCAGGTAATGTATCATAACGTTTTCATGTTTAATCAGTTAAGTTTTAAAGTTTATCCCGCTGGCCCGCCAGTCCGCTAAGCCAGCCCGCATAGCTTAATCGGTTAGAGTGCGGGACTTGTAATCTCGACATTGTGGGTTCAATTCCCGGGCTGGCCAATTAAAATTACTAATCAGTCTTTCGGATGAGACTTTAAATCGAGGTCCCGTGTATGGGTGCTTAAACGATTGGCACGCTAAAGAACCAGGAGAAGCTTCTGAAATTGGGGCATCTCTCTGTATCTGTAATTGCACTATCCTCCAAAAAAATAAAATTACTAATACTTTTCCGGAGGACTCGCCCGTATGGGCAACCGGTGGCGAGTATAAATAAACGCAAATACACACACACACACGCCAGCCCGCCCAGTTCACTCTGCTAGCCCGCTTCACTGTCAGCATGCCCTCTTCACACTGCTAGAAAATGTATCATGAAGTTTTAATGTGGATTCAATTAACACACCACTAGGAATGTATCATGAGGTTGTCATGTTCATTCAATTAAGTTTTAAAGTTTAGCCCGCTGGCCCGCCAGCCTGCCCATTTCACACTGCTATCCCGCTACACTGTTAGCCCGCCCACTTCCAACTGCTAGGAAATGTATCATAACGTTTTCTTGTTTAATCATCAGTTAAGTTTTAGAGTTTATCCCGCTGGCCCGCCAGCCCGTTCAGGTCACACTGTTAGTCCGCTAGACTGCCAGTCCGCCCAGTTCATATTGCTAGCCCGCTAGACTGCTAGCCCGCCCAGTTCACACTGTTAACCCACTAGACTGTTAGTCCGATCAGTTCACACTGTTATTCCGCTAGACTGCTAGCCCGCCCAGTTCACACTGTTAGCCCGCTAGACTGCTATCCCGCTCAGTTCACACTGTTAGCCCACTAGACTGCTAGTCCGTTAGCCCGCGTACTTCACGGACATCTTTAAGCACATGGATATGAAAAGTGCCCTGTATTTTTTCTGTTGCATTAAACTTAATTTGGACATTCCTATTGTCTTAGAATGAAATAATTTGTGTATGTTGTGACAGAAAACAATGATGAATTATTGAAGTTGCTGTACGGGCCATTATATACTTTTCATTATTAAGATTAAAATCTATATTAAAAAAGTCATTATTTATCGAGTCCGTTTGACACATGAAATAAAATAAACATTTTTCATTGACAATCTGAGTATCTGCGTAGTTTACTAAAATCCAAAGATCTAAAGACAAAGGACATTCTTAACACTTAGTAAAACATGGTTGCTATTTTAAATAATTACTATAGTTACGTTAAAAAACCAATTATATATGAAATATTTAACCTTTGTATTGCTGAGTCCGAGTTTCAACATCAATATACAAACAGGTTATTCACCACTTGCTTACAACTTGTTTTCTTACGTTTAACTGACATTCTGCCCATCCAAGGTTATATAGCAAATAAACAGTAAGTAGTAAAAATAAGTTTACAATCTGCTACAATTCCTTTCAATTTTATAATCCAATTCACGTGAATTGTGGTTAACTCATGTGGCCAAAGGAAATTATATTAAATATATATCAGAATGTACTTGTTACATTAAATTTATAAAAAGAGTGGGGCAGTCTTTTTATATTTTACGCAAATTTGTATTCTATCCTAAATATTTTCGAAATATCAATATTTGGCCAAGTACCATTATAACAGTCAATCTTTTGAAATATACAGTCAATACGGCTCAACTTGACAATGATAAAATGAGCATAATGTCACTTTAATGTAGACTGTTTTAAATGAGCAGAAAGAGTGTTTCCCTGGCAAAAATACGTTAAAATATGAACTTTGTGAGTAATCGTTCAACTATATGAAGATCAAACCCTATTCTGTAGTGTTGATTTAACCCTTTCGCTGCCAGAGGGTTATTGTTTTATTGTTCACCTATTTGCCAGAGGATTTTCTAAGAAATTACTATATTATTATTTAATATAATTATAATTATTTGTTATTTGTATTATAATAATTATATTTATTATATACCTATAAATTTTCTCCCTAAAATACACGCAAATATTGAAGCGCAAATACGCTTCAACGGATAGAAATTTCCGTATTATGTTAGTGACAAATACGGTACCATATATGGAAGTGCCGGACTATTTTTGACGTTGGTTCCGATCTTAGCTTTGTATAACGTTGCATTTGAAAACGGGAACCAAAATTATTAAAGGCGTGGCCGGTTTGCAAGAATTACGTATTCATCCGTCAGTCATGAATTTATTTCTTGACAACTACATTTCATTTTCTGAATAAAACGAAAAGGAATATAATAAAAGGAAAATTATGTTATAGTAGCTTTCTGAGACTATGTATTTTTCTACTCGCAACGTTGGAAAATTGATATCTCGCTCGACCTTTGGTCTCGCGAGATATCAATTTTCCACCGCTGCTCGTAGAAAAATACAAAGCCTCAGAAAGCTACTACAACATAATATTCCGTATATGTTTCCAAATCTGTTAGTATAATAATAATAATTGTCGACGGTATAATTTTCTTTATATTTATTATTATTTTTATTATTATTATTATTAATTTATTATTATTACTATTATTATTATAGAAACGGCTAAAGCCGTCCATATGGCAAATACGCCGAAAATATCAGGGACGGCTTAAGCCGTCCCTATGGCAGTGAAAGGGTTAAGAAAAGACTAAATGACAGGCAGTTAATTTTATTTATATAAAAAATTTCAAACGTGAAGAAAGATCATTGCCAAAATGAAATTCATCACTTTACACTTTAGGAAAATAAATAAATAAATAAATAAATAAATAAAAAATAATAAAAAAACCATAAAAAACAAAGAACAAATTTGTTTTCTTATAAATTAATTATTCTTGTAAAAGAACCCAAAGCAGTAAACAAGCTGCATTACTTTTAATGATGATACATAAGACACAATTCAACAAGTATTAAGCATTTACAAAGATAATTTTTTCTAATAACGCAAAAATGTTATTTAGCATGATACATTAAACAATGAAAGATATAATACAATTTTATATGAATAACAGCTAAGCTATTTATCAAAAAGAAAAAATTGGCGATTTCTGTAGGAAAGTAATTTTTCGACATATCACCTTTGATTTTTATAACAATGAATATAAACATACATTTTAATCAGGATTTTCCGAAGCCGAGTGGTTGAGGTCGTTAACTTCAAACCACTTGCTCCCTAACCACCGTAGGCTCCCCCCCTACCAGTGACTTTAGATTTTTACATTTCATAAACCTATCCAGCTAGCTTACGTTATGTCGGTGGTTCTACTAAGATGACCGCTCGTGCCTGAAATAATTTTTCACGGAGGGGCATCTGAGGTATTCCTAAGGTTGAAATTCCTATAAGACCTCGACTGTGTTGGTCCAAATTAAAACCAGTAACAACAATAACAAAACTTATGTTACAACTACCTCCACTTAAATTGTACATGCTTCCTATATTAGTCACAACCGCTTTCATAAAAGATAAGATTAAAGCACATATGTTCTTTTGATGTGATCATAACTTTCAAGTAAAAGCACATATTATCCTTTACACTTGACAAACACACAACCAGTCAATTGTAAGCATGACAGCTACTAACAGATTCTGTTTTAAAGTAACAACAACTTTAATCCAAAACAACATTAAAATTATATACACGTGATAACCATTTCATGACAAAAGCGCATCCGACCTTTGACTCGTGAAACTCAATTTTAATCCAAAAGCATATTTGATCCTTTTCACTCGGTTGTCATTTTCAGTAAATGAAGATTTTTCCTTTTTGATATTCACTTTCAGCCCATAGCGAATGTAAACTTTTCTGCAAACACGCACCCAGAATAATACATACAAACATATTATTTTAGTCAAAATCCAAAATCCGTTTAGTTTAATCCATTCTGAACTCCATTTTATGTACACTTCCGTCACATTTAGTTGTTTCAACAACGATATCTGAACTACCAAAAATGAGCCGAACATCGATAGAGTCATTTCTTCTATCAGAGTCTCGCTCCACAAAATAAAGCCCAACAAACTCGCATCCAGGCTCATCAACAAACATGGGATCTGGATTTGTCGACTTATATAATACGATTGAATAGCCCTGGTCTTTTTCAGAGGATGGAAAGTATGTGCGTGTAATCTGAGTCTCACCAGTGACAACGGTTTGTCCAACCTGAACATGCTTGTCGAAGACATCATCACACATCTCCTGCATTTCTATCTTTATCTTCTTTCTTTCGGGATGTTGTCCCTTTACAAAAGGTACCGTCATTGCAACTCCGTAAGTAAAGCGAGATATTCTTTCTGTGATTTTAGAAGGTTGGTGGCCAAACAAGACGGCGCCTTTCATAATACAGAGACTTGTGTCAACTGGTGTAATCACATCAACTTCTCTCTGGAAGGCATCTTTAACGGCCCTCTGAAGAATTGGGGACTCTGAAAATCCACCAACCATTAAGATGGCCTCTACCGGTCTTTGGAGAGAATTAATTAAATCCCGAACATGTGTAATAATATCTGTAACAGCAACGTTGAAGAATGATTTAAACACTTCAGCTTCAATTCTCATCTTATCCCTAACGATCTTTATTTTACTTTCGTACTCTGTGTTTAACACTTTAAGACTTTTTGAAACATATCCTGTAACTGGATTGGCATCCTTATCGTGACAGTTTCCAAAGAATCAGGTTTGGTCATTTTTTTCTTGTTCTCAAATTCGTCGAGCATTTCCATATAGTCAGCCTTGTGGGTACTGGAAAATTCTTCGAAAACTTCAGGTCCTACAAGATTGGAAACAAAGCTAACAAAGGCTTTGTTAACAGCTGTTCCTCCCCAATTTCCACCAGTTGCACTGTGAAGTTCCTTCAAACTGTTGCCTTCAAGTACTTCGTGTACTGTCTAATCAACTGTACCACCTTGAACAAGACCATTAATATTTACTGACATTATAACCCTTAGATTGTTTTGATATCATTATATAAGTCTCGTCTACTACTAATAACACGTATATAATGTTTTCATGAACAAGTGCGATGCTATGATAACGAAGTCTATGTCCGATAATTGAATGATGTCAGACAAAGTCATATGGTAGCTTATAAGGATCATACACCTGCTGCTGGTACAAACCGGAATATCATCACGAGGGTAACTGTTTACGGATTAATGAGGCTCTTTCGAGTTTCTGCTAAACAGTAACCCGAGAGCTAGATATTCCGGTCTGTTACGGCATCCGGTGTTTTATTCTTTGTCTCGCAGAAAGCTTATAAATCATATTTCGGATAGAAATTACGGAAACTAATATTTTTGTTAAGCACTTTTTACTCATAGTAGTGTATGAATTTACAACTTCATTCATAACGGCAAAATTACGCCATTATAAGAACGCAATTCATTAATAAAAAGCCGTATGGAAATGACACCATTTAAATGACGCAAATTAACTTACAATCTAATCTCTGTATTCTTTAATAATAATAATAATTGTAATAATAATAATAATAATAATAATAATAATAATAATAATAATAATATACAACCATCTAACAACAACAACAACAACAGCAGCAGCAGCAGCCATAACAGTAAACAACAACAATTGCCCCCAAGTAAAAAAAACAACAACAAATACACAATCGCAATGAGTGTCGATATTAACCTCCACAGACCAGAATAAGATAGCGTGTTCCAGCTGGAAACTTTGTCATGCCTGTTTCTGTTTGGGGGTCACGTGTTATCGGAAGTTGACGACAGTAGATCGACGCAGCTTCCGGTTCTAGAGCTATCTCAATACTACTCTTCGCAATCCTAGCCTATTGTTAAAAAAAAAAAGACATATTATACTATACATTCGTTTTTTTCTCGATATTCGTGACGTTTATAAAATTTATGTACACGACTGCAGTCGATTTATGAAATTATTTTATTATTTCTCTATACATAAAGTTTGCAGTATTATAAATTTGTAATGAAGATTCTTAACAGGTTATATAGCCGTATATAAACGGTGATTTGCAATAGCGGTTAATAATGGCTAGGGATTATATTTACAAACAGTCGTTTATAAAGGGCCATATAGCATGTCAAAAATCTTTAAAACTTATGAAATATTTAAAACTATATTCTTCGATACATATATGCAATGTCGGTTGGTCAAGCTTTTAACTGTAATGTTAACTTATATTTGTCCAGATTGAAATGAACGCAAATGAAATACATCATACATTAATACCTAGCCTGGGTTCCAGTCTGTCGATTTTTTGTTATGTTTCTGTTTGGCAAATCGACATACTATCAAGACGACGAACGAATACGGAATAGCGCATATGTTATGAATAAAAAATGTTATAAATAAGCAAAAACTATCAACGCCTGAATCCCAGGCTAATTAATACCATACAGCTCTGTATACAATATCCAAAACTAGAATAGATATATTAAAATATTGATTTTTTTTTCAGAAATGAGATGTTTCTAAGTGGAAATATATATTAATTTGATTCACCCACACTTCAAGTGCATAGATTTTTTTAGTTGATCACTTAACGACAATATGTAAATTATACACACATTTCCAGTTTATATTGTAAAACAACCATTATTGATTATCATTTTTACTAAACAGTATCACCTTCTCAGCAGCTTTTCGCATAAACTTTTTTGCAGAATCGTTCCAAATGGCAGGAACGGTAATGACCCACGTGATATCATGCTCCTCTACTCCCAAAGAGCTACAATTTAGCATTCCCAGTAAGTGGTTCTTCAGATACTCTATTGATAAACTGAAAACTGTCAGTGCGTCCATTTTCTGCCCATTTTCTGCAGTCAGCTCATAGTTACCTTGAATTTCCTAAAATGTATTGATTTTAACATTATCAAACTAGTACATCAGTTATTGTGTTGTTTAAGCCCCTTATTTTGGTCCTTTCCGCTTAGAGTGCAAATTCTGTCAAGCTCATTTAAAGTGACATTATGGCCTTCCAAGTTTAAATGGTCAGTGAATAGGTTAAAACAAAAATGACTTGACATTTTGCCAACATAGAGTTCAATTTAATATTTTACAATAAAATTAATCAATGGTGCACGGTACCAACGGAAAGTACTATAAAACTCATTCTGAAAGTATCGGCAACGCTAAATTCTTAAAAAGAAACGGGTGGCCTTTTTTTTATAATTTAGGAAGTTTGTATATTGAATCATGAACATTTTTCGTTATCATTTATTGGCCAGTCACCATAATAATAGCCAATCCTAAAAATATTTAACTAACTTAAATAACTTGTCCCTTGCTAGCTTTAGGTCTTCAGCGTACCCTTTTTTATACTGTGACAATTCCGCATCGGACGAAAGAAAGAAATATTTAAAAAGCGGCTTTTAGTCTACAATGGGCACATTTTCCAAAAGTAGTTCAAATATTGTTAACATTAGTAATATATCATTTAGATAATGTGGTTTCATGACATATTTCAGGAAATTTAAATGTTGATAAAAGTTTTTAAGTGATTTATTATGAACATTATTATGATCAATGATGATAATTCGTTCAAGACATTTATTATCTATCTGCTATATAAATTTATAAACCATATCGGATCATGCGTGTAGCACTTCCAAACAATATCCAGAAATAAATCTTTCGTGGTTTCACGCATGATACTAAATACTATTAACGTTATTATTTCTCGTATTGTATATCTTCCATCATAGACAAATTCACTTTAAATGTTAAATGTTACGAGATACCTTATGTTGGTGAAGAGTCATTTTGAATTCCCAGAAGAAAAACCAATTTCCGTGCTTGTCTTCGTTAGATAGTGCCAAATATTTTGACTTTGCCTCATAGCCAAACGAGTGGAAAGCCTTTTCTGGTGTCAACAATAAGCATGTTGGCTGCTTCGCATTCATTTGGCCTTGAGCAACATGAATTTTCAGAGGATTTGTAAGGAAATCATGCTTAAACGAAAACGTAACTAGAGTTGGTTGTTCCAAAGTCAATAGCTGCGACAACAATTCCACTTTTTGTTGTTACTTCCTCGTTAGCAAGTGAGTCCTTTCCATGATCGGATCTAGCGCTCGTATCAGAATACCCCTTCCTTCAAGAAAAATAATACTTATTAATGAAAGCAGAATTTTGAAAATGTTCGTAGTTTTAAGTAGATATTACTTGAATAATCATGTCCTCAAGAAAATTAATCAATGGCGACAGTTTATATTCTAATTGTACAAAGAATTTGTAAGGGTTGGCAATAAATATAACTTATACAACAACATGTTTTTTATGAAAAATGTTTGTTTTGAAAACTGACAGGATAACTTTCTCATATGGAAGTAGTATAAAACGAGGTGGGTGTGGGGTGGAGTGAGAATTAACAACGTAGAAAGTTTTTGTTTGCTTCTTATGTGTTTTGGGCTACTGTGCATACGCGAAAGGGGAGATAACGAGAAGAATGTGTTCATTTGACAGGGGAAGGTGTACAGAAGGCAAAATGTCATAATGTCCATTGTCACAAAAATGCCTGACAGTTCTGAAACTCACAAAGCCCAGAGAATGGACCCAGAAAGTTTCCTACATGTTAAAAATGGAACTCTTTGAACTGTCAGTTTTTTCCCAATGGACAATATGACATTTTGACCACTGGGCACCCTACGTACTACAATGAACACATTTCTCTCGTTATCTCCCGCTTCACGCATGCGCAGTAACCCAAAAACACTTAAAGAGCTAAAACAACCTACGTGCTAAACTCTCTCCCGCCCCCTGTTTTATACTACATCATCAAACAATTCATGAGTTCTATAAAGTATGTAAATAACTGTTATTATGATAGAAATAAACTATATTTATCGTTGGAAAATAGAATTTCAAGATCACTTAAAACTAGCTGTACCTTATGATGCTGATTTCTGCTGTTTCATGTTTTCGTATCTTAGACTTTTGGGGCGCTGAAGATCTATACAATATCATACAAGCGATCGCCTTGATAATATATGAACCGAGATTTGCAAACAATTTTGCATAAACTAAATGGCTAACACAAAAAACAAATACCTTTCAATTCTTCTTTTAAACTTTCTGTCCATTTCTGCTGAGAGGAACTGAAATAATTATTTTACTCATTGTAATTCGTAAGTAATTTGTAAGTATCATATCAGTTTTCTCATAAAGGCCGTGCTTTTTGCATAATGACATTGTTTTATGTTCATAATCTCGTGGGGAAATTCATATAAGCCTTACATTTGAACTGAAAACGTGCCAAATATTGAAAAGATCATTTATAATGTATTTTATTGCATTGTATTGTTTTGTATTGTACAGTATGTGTATTTATGTACAAATACCATAAAATGTAGGTTATTGTGGGTAATTCTGTAGAAATAAAAACATTGTCAGTACAAATTCATGACTCGTAACTATTAAAATCATGTACATATTTATGAATAGATATTACACAATAATGTACGAGTACGAATAGAAACATCGTTTGTAAAAATTTATGAATCGTTACTGCATAACCATGTACAAATTAATAGATAGATACTAAATAAACATGTGCGAATAGAAACATCGTCATAACAAATTCATGAATCATTACTTCCATCCTAATTCCGTGTTTATGTTTCGCGATCAGTAATATATGTACAATAAATGCTTTAAGTATGCCGTCAGAAATAAATAAAAAATTAATAGATAAATGAATAACACCAGGAAATAATCAAATTACTTCTCCCATAATGCTGCATATGGTTTAAAAATATAGTTAATTATGCACATAAAAGTATCAAGAACATAACTATCATTAAAAATTAGTGGGAAATAAATAAATTACGACAGCTAACGAAAACAAGAACCTGTTGTTAAACACAAATGCCCACGGCTAAGATTCTTGTCAGTCACAATATTTCAAATAGTTACCCATTGACTTACTTCAGAACGGAAAATTGCCAACAAATTTTAAACACAGTTATATAACTTGACAGTGTCATGGCGTTTGTTAATTGTGAATACTATAAGTTGGCAAGTCATTGCTATGACTTGTGATGAAGTTGAAAAATATTCAACTTTATCAAATATATGTAGCGACACTAAACTCCATCCGAACTTAAAGTACCACCTAAGGTATGCTCCTTGTAAATATGAGACATAAGTAAAAAAAGGCTGTATAAAAAGTATAAAAATCTATTGTTGTCACAGGTGACATTGACTTTGTGACTTTGTGACTCCCAGTGACCATCAAAAATATGTTTCTTTCAAATATGAAAAACTTCAGTCTATAAATAAATGCTATCTATTTTTAGCTTTGGTGACCTTGACCCAAATTGCTCCTAACTCAATCCAAAACTGCAAGTTATAATCCTTTCAAATATAAACAATATCAGTCAAAAAATAAAAGTTGTTTCAGCAAATGTGTAGAAATCTTTTATTGACCTCCTTGACCTTGGCCCACTGACCCAATTGAAAGGAAGAATAACATATGTCCATTTATAAAGGCTTTATGAGCAAAAGAGAAAAAAAAATAAGCACTGATGACCTGAACCCGTTAGACCTCTAACTCAGTCCAAAGGAAGAATGTCATGCAAGTTATCATCCAACCAAATATAAAAAGGGCCGTATAAGCAAATAAGTAGAAATATCTTTTTGGCATCCTTGACCTTGACCCACTCAACCCTACTTTACTTCAATCGAAAGGAAAAAATCATGTAAGTTATCTTCTTACCATAAATGTAATACTTCTGTTAATAAATAAAGGCTGTATGGGCAAAAGTGTAAAAAAAATCTATTTTTGCAATGATAACCTTGACCCAATGATCCCTACCTTAATCAAAATAAGAATACCATGCTTCCTACCAAATATGAAAACATATGTCAATAAATAAAGGCTGTATGAGCAAAAGTGTAAAAATTTGTTTTTAGCACTGTTGACCATGACCCACTTGACCTTTAACTCCATCCCAAGATTTTTTTTAATTCTACCAAATAAAAGAGGCATCTGTCAATTGAATAAGGTTAAAACACCCGTAAAAGTGTATAAATATATTTTTAGATTGGTGACCTTGACCTTGCAAATGACCCCTAACTAACCCCAAAGGAAAAGAACCTCCCTTAGCAGTTTGTATTTAACATGAATGACATCAACTTAAAAATAATAGCTATATGAGCAAAAAATTTTAAAATTTTATTTACACCAGTGACTTTGACCTTGACCCTAGAGACCCCTTACTCCATAAGAAATTAGAGGACCATTTAAAGTATCAACCTACCAAATATGAAAGATATCATTAAATAAATGAAGTAATTAGGAGAAATTTAAGATAAATTCAACTTGCCGGAAAAGATTAACCATAAAAGGCCCTATTTTCAAAGCGATAAAAGGGAAATAACTAGGAAAAATGGATGACACAGTTTTATAACTTGGCAATACCGTGTACTTTGTATTGGAAAGTAAGTGTGGTAATTATGAAGCCATTAGTATAGATAGAACTTAAGATGTATCCAACTTGCCGCTTTAGGTTAACCAATTCTTCCTAAGTGCTGAAAAGGGCAATAACTTTGTACAAGGATATCCGTTGTTATGTAACTTGCCCAGATCATGTACTTTGTGTTGATTAGTAAGTGTGTAAATTATGAAGCCATTGGTGTAGGTAGAACTTCTGATATTCCTCCAGGACGTTTGAGGTTAACAATGTACGGACAGACGAAATAATGGATGGACAAACAGACGGGCGGACAGACGGATGGTTCAATTTCAATATGCCCGGGAGCATTAAAAGCTTCCGAAAACGGAACAGTCTCAGGTTAATATTGCCAACAATAATACCCTAGCAATTATTCCACACCATTGTTTTTAACTTGTCCTAGATGTGCTAAATACATGTTGTTGTTTTCCTTCATGTTTAATATTATTTTAAAAACATGTGCCTGATCTTTATGAATTTTGAGAAGATTGTCTTATTCCTATAACAAATATAACACAAAACCTTAAGTAAGTAAAATACTTACATCTATATTTAACTCTCAAATCAGAACGACTGACTGCTTGCTCTTTATGTAAGGATAGACAATTTTAGCCTTTAAAATTTTGCAAACAGAAAGAGGAAGTTATTTATCGATTCCGAATTTTCAATTTATAGGAAATCACACTGATCATATTACATAATTGATCAACGTTAACCGTTTACATTAAATAACATTGTTCATGCGAAACGTGAATGAAAAACAGGATATAAGAGAAAGAGAAAGTATAGTGGTAAAAAATAAAAAATAGAATATAAAAGTACCTACAATTTCACGTTAATAGAAAGCAGCCAACGATATGATGAAGTCATACAGGACCACAATGATTGATACCCAGCAAGGGACCGAACAACTGACATGACCATTACCCACGCTATTGACATTCTTGTTCATTTATGTATATGCAAAAGTGATTTTGTAAGGTTAGAATTGCTTTGTTCGCAACCCATACTGATCATTCGGACGGAAAGATTATATTTGGCCGCCATTAATTGTGGGCTCAGAAAAGACCAACAAAACTTCAGAAAAGGATACAAGGTCGTAAAAACACGAAAAAAAACCCTATTTATTTTCTTTTGTATGTTTAGGAGCCAGTTTTGCATATGATCTTTACTTTACCAAGCATCTAAAGCCTAAATATTAAATATGTTATTTTTAGATACATTGTTTCACATAACAGTTAGATTTAAGAAAAAGGTGGAAAAAGAAATTTGCCGACAATAAAATACATGAACATTAAGGCCTGTTCTCTAAGATAAAGTACAATAAAGTGGACAATTAGTTTCCCGATATTCTAATTTTAGAAACGAAGTTTACTGACGCATCATAAATAGCTCTCGAGACACTGTTTTAACAATGATATGATGCACTTTTTCAAGATAGAATTACTGAAATACTTAGTTTGAAACAGCACAAAATTGTTTATCCAACAGAAAAATACAAACTAAAGGCCGCTTTAAACAATTATAAAATACTAGAAAATAATTAATTTATGAATCAGGCTTTACTATAATTACGACCAGATGCCTTATACATTTTATTCTTAATTATTCTCTCTTTTAATTATAGATAAAATCTTCCTTACAAACGAATTTATTACACAACACTAATTCCGTCTTAAAAAAAACAATTATTGTCATGTCGCTTTTTCTGCCCACGAACCATGAAGTCAATCAGTAAAAGAAATTCAATTTGTTCTCGGGTGAAATTACTTGCTTGTTGGCAATAATGAAAATGATTGATCGTCAAATCTGTTTTTCAATGTTCAATCTTATTTGCAAATGTTAAAATAGTTTCATTGTTATTTAGCTCAATAGTACAATGTTATTTGACAATCATGTATTTTTTTATTTTAAAAACGGGCATGCAATGCATTTTGTCATTATCACGTAGTACCACAATCTTTGTTATTTACTGTATTACATATTTGTATTAAACTTTTAAATACAGTTACTGCTATTTTCTTAAACACTGTATGGTATGATAAATCAATTGTTTCTATAGGAGTCAATGGTTAATATTGAAGTCAATGGTTACTATTGAAGTCAATAGTTGTTATAGAAATCCAATGGTTGCAATATTGGTCAGGGGTTGTTATGAAAAGTCAATGGTATGGTCAATGGTCAAAAGTATCACATTCGTAACAGGTCAATTTCAGTATGCAAAATGGAGTAAAAAGTGCTGTTTTACACCTATATCATATTTGTAACAAGTATTACAAGTTGGGTTACTAAATTAGTTAGTTTTATGGGAACGAAATGAATATCTGGAAAAAAGTTATCCCTCGGAAGCATTAAAAACAGCATAATTACATGAAAATTGCAAAATTTCTGCAGGAGAGATAATAATAAAAGTGTGACATCCCTCACTGAAGCCGTTGAAGGCATAGTACATTGCCATATTGGTCAAATTGCATTTAACTTGTATGTATGTCTGTCTGTCTCATTATTTCTTTTGTCCGAGGAAATACAGTTTTATAAAAAAAAACATATCTTTGTCAAAAGTTAGTACATGTACAAGAATAAGATAGTTATGTATTCTACAGCTTATTCATATTAAAGTATAAAAAAGTATTTTGTAATGGTTATTTAAGTGATGGCGTTAGTAAAATAGTAATTTTGATGAAAATGGTAGTAATGGTGAAAGTATTTGTTTTCTTAATTGTTGTTGCTGCTGTTTTCGATCTATATTATGTGTATTGTCTATTCACCATACTTGTCAATGTGTTATATCTTTCTTTCTCGGCCAGCACTTTGGTCAAATTTTACGTACAATGTCTTGTATGACAATATATCTTATGATCCACTAATGATATTCGACTGTTTCTTCACACAGTTTTTTGATATCATAATGGGGATAACTGTCCATGGCATTACTGACAAGTAAATGACAGAATTATGGCCCCTTTTGAACTACAATATAAAGTCTCCTTCAAGCATACTGAAGGCAATCAGTCGAATTTTAATGGACGTCTTAAAGGCCATAATTAGAAGCCACCAAACAAGGCCCTTAATTATGATTTGAATTGTCTTTTTAAACTTAATTGATACTTAGTTCAAGTTCTGCAGAAACGTCAACTTACTGGAGGTAATTACTTATTACATGTCTTTGGGATCATAATTGACTGTCACTTTTCACACGGCCCCTAACTCCGACAATGATTTTGGCAGGCTTTTGAGAATTAAGAAAAATGTAGATTTTTAGTTTTACTTGTATCATTAATCTTTCAAATAATCTACCAATTGTATTTACTTGAAGAAACGTGATTCGTATATTTGGAATTTTTACTCAATTCATTTTCAAGACCCATAGCTCTGGCATGGATTACAAATGAAATTACTATTTTTGACAATGTTCGAGATTAATAACTGTCTTTTTTTCTTTATCATTTAACACATGTTTAACCAAAGAGCTAGTCTTGTTTAACTATCAATACTTATTAATGATACTCGAGTGCGCTGTCCAACTGATAGAGTAAACAGTTTTGTCATGTCATTCCATAGGGCATATTGTAACGATTTTGTGATTTAACCACTTTAAGAAAATGTATGACACAATGAGTTTATGTTCTAAATATAACTTGTTTCATTTCATAAATGGTTTAAACCTTATTTTCTTTTGTCACAAAATACCCTGGCGCATACTGATAATGATGAAAAATGCTTCCAGATTGCTCAATGTAAACTCGATTTTCTCACTGAAATAACTACTCTTCAGAATTATCCAAATTTTTTATACATTATGAGTTAGTAAACAATATATATTACTAATACAGTATATATTACTAATCTGAAAGCTATACGCATATGTATATATCATAAGTAAATTCTTTACACAAATATCAGCATGAAAGTACTATAAATCATTAGTTGTGTTCAAAACGTTTTTTTCAAGATGACCATAAACGAAACCTGCTGACAGGCTTGAATTTAGCGTAATGAGTATACACGATAGTTTCCTATTTATGTAATACAAATTTAATAATACAAACAATAAATGCTTCCAATCCCCCACCCTCAGAAAAAGAAGAAAAAAAAAAAGAAACAGACTTGCACACACGGACACATATAATAAAGTATAATTTAAATTTTGCCGGGACCGAAGGCAACCCATATCAAATAACAACAAAAAATACATGTAAGGTGATCTACCAAAAACCTTGATATGTATACAATAGCGATATACAGTATTTCTGGTAATACCCTGGCAAATATTTCCCCTCAGTGTTTTGACCTGTCCCAAATGAGCTTAATATATGTTCTTGTTTTGCTTTTTGCTCAAGAACAAGTGCCTGATCAAAAATCTGAAAATGTAAAATCTGAAAAAAGTTTAAGTATAGCAAAAATCTATTTAAATTTTAAGATTTTACATGCAATATAATTTAACAAACAAAACATTAAGTTAAACACTTACATTAAAATTTTAAACTCTAGAATAAGAACGACCTCCTGCTCTATGATTTTAGCCTTAAAATTTTGCAAACAGAAAGGGGAAGTTATTTAACGATTAAAAATTTTCAATTTATAGGAAATCACACTGATCATATTACATATTCGATCAACATTGACAGTGTTTTGACTTGACATTTAAATCAAATTGTTCAGGTGAAAGGAGCGTGAAAGAAAAACAAGTCATAAGAGAACTAGAAGAGGTAAAAAAAAAGAAGAAAAAAAGAAGCTTTTAATGAAATATATATAATATGCAATGTACATCGAAAAGATGAAATATAAGAAACAGTACAAGGCGACGTTCACAAAATGAAGCCAACGACATTATCCAGACACACAGGATCGCAGTTATGATACCCCGGTAAAATATTAACTCAAAATACTTATTTCCCTGCAATTAACCTAATTACACTTTCACATGCTGGGCCCGTTTTACTAACATTTCGTAAATTTTTCGTAAGTTTTTTCGAAACTTTACGCTTACGTTTAAACTTACGTAAATCGTGTGTTACACAACATGGGGACCAGTCTTTGTGAGTTATTGTTCAACAACTATATGAAGACGAAACAAGATAAATTCTGCAGCGTTAACTTAAGGTAAGACTAAATGACAGGCACTATTTCTATTTTACAAAAAGAAATTTCAATGTAAAGAAGTAATCATTGCCGAAATGAAATTTATCACTTGACGATTGATTTTTGAATAAAAAAAAAAAAAAAAAAAAAAAAAAAAAAAAAAACTTACATTAACGTGAATGTGTTTATACAAATACATGTACTTTGATACATAAGGCATTAGCAAACAACCAACAGGCATTTAGCAGTCACAAAGAGAACATTTCTTATAAAACGCAAAGGCAGCACACCACACTAAATGAAGCCGCAGCTTCGAATGGCCAGGGAGGATTTCATTGATATAGTGACTATTGTGGATTTAAATGACTGGTTGTCTTTAAAATGCATTTTCAGTATGAAATTTGTTTTTGTGACATGTAATATGATCATTGGCAAATTCGAAAACATGGTTAGAAATCACATGCTGATAATTATTGATGTCAAGGTCGCCATTGTTTGTAAACATTGCTTTTAAACAGCATGCTCGGTGAAAACAAGTAATTTTACAGGGGGGTACAAACTTTCAGCAATAGCAAAAAATCTACAAGGCCAAGCACCTATTTCTTTGTGATATTTTGCATGCATAGGGAGTTGCTAAAGTAGTGACAGAGTTTTTGTAGACCGTATATTTGCAGGTATTTTTTGCCGAAGGGACGAAAAATGTTATTTTGGGTCTCGGACCACTATAGATTTTTGGCTTTTACGGAATGAATTGGAATTCTTTTAACTGCCTGACTGTTGCATATGGGATGATTTCATTACAGATTTGCAATGGTAGGACATATATGTTCTTAACAAAATGTGTTTTCTTTTTCCAGGTTGTGTAGTTTGGGATCAGATTTATCAGACATATTGCTTGTAGGACATTGACGGCAGAAACTTGAAATTTAGTGTGGAGTGCTACCAAAAGACTTGTGATATAACATGACACATTTATCAGAAAGAATAATACAATTTTTGTATGAATAATATTCCATAGGCAACTGTTAAGATATCAATCAAAAGGGGAAATTGGCCATTTCTGTGTGACAGTAAATTTTCGACAAATTATATTTGATATTTTACAACAATGAAGGTAAACATACACCCCTACGGGGACTTTGGATTCTTTCATGTGAGAAAGCTACCCAGCGCTTCTACTCTGGTGCCCGCTCCAGCCTGAAATAATGCACATAGGGCAGTAGAGGTTTTCCTCTACCACAAAAAACAGCTGGAAAATAGCCATATAACCTCTACTGTGTTGGTGCGACGTGTTTAACCCGACAACAACAAAAGGTACATTTTACCCTTAATATGTTACAATGTATAAATAGTTCATTTATCCTAAATTAGTCACTACAGCTTTCAGATAAAAGTACATAAAATCGTTAAATATCAGATAAAAGCACATATATGATCTTTTGGTGTGATCATAACTTTCAAATAAAAGCACATATTATCCTTAACACTTGACAAACACATAGTCAGTCGAATCCTTTAAGCATGACAACTAGTAACAGCAACTTTAATCCAAAATAACATCATGATTGTATACACGTGATTTTTAGACAAAAACGCATTCGATCTTTGGACTCGTGATACTCACTTTTCATACAAAAACATATTTGATCCTTTTCATTTGGTTGTCATTTTCAGTTAAACAAGATGTGTCATTTTTGATAATTATTTTCAGCCCAAAGCGAATTTAATTGCTTTTACTTGATATGCATTTTCAGTCAAGAACACTAATGTATTTGATCTTTCATACTTTGAGACAAATGATAGGGCACAGAAAATTGCAAACAGAAAAAATCATTACACTGTAGAATTTTCGAAGTGAGGTCAGTGACCTTTAGATAAACATTGTTAAGCCATTACAAGTAATAGTAAAGATCACATACATACATACACGAATGCATGCGCAAACATGCACAAAAGCACGCACGCGCACGCACATACAATGATACATACAAACATGTTCAATTTATAAACATAATTTAATCCATACTGAAGTCAGCTTTATGTACACTTCCGTCACGTTTAATTGTTTCAACAACGATATCTGAACTGCCAAAACTGATCCGAACATCGACAGAGTCATTTCTTCTACCAGATTCTCTCTCCACCATGTAAAATCCAACACACTCGCATCCAGGCTCATCAACAAACATGGGATCTGGTTTTGTTGACTTAAATACCACAACTGCATAGACTTGATCTTTTTCAGACAATGGAAAATATGTGCATGTCTTCTGGGTCTCACCAGTGACAACGGTTTGTCCAGCCTGGACATGCTTATCGAAGACATCATTACACAGATTCTGCCCATCTACCGTTATCTTTTTACTTTCGGGATGTTTTCCATTTACAAAGGGTACCACCATTGCTACGCCGTAAGTAAAGCGACATATTCTTTCTGTGATTTTAGAAGGTTGGTGGCCAAACAAAACAGCGCCTTTCATAATACAGAGACTTGCGTCAACCGGTGTAATCACATCAACTTTTCTCTGGAAGGCATCTTTAACAGCCCTCTGAAGAACTGGGGACTCTGAAAATCCACCAACCATTAAGATGGCCTTTACCGGTCGTGGAAGAGAATCAACTAAATCTCGAACATGTGCAATTATATCTGCAACAGCACCGTCGAAGAACGATTTAAACACTGCAGCATCAATTCTTATCTTATCCCCAACGATCTTAATTTTACTTTTGTACTTTGTTTTTAACGCTTGGTCATTCAACGATGTGTTTGCAGACTTATAAAACATATCCTGTAACTGGATTGGAATCCTTATCGTGACGGTTTCCATGGAATCAGGTTTGGTCATTTTTTTCTTGTTCTCAAATTCGTCGAGCATTTCCAGATAGTCAGACTTGAATTTACTGGAGAATTCTTGGAAAACTACAGGTCCTACAAGATGAGATACAAAGCTAACAAAGGCTTTGTTCACAACTGTTCCTCCCCAATTTCCGCCAGTTGCACTGTGAAGTTCCTTCAAACTGTTGCCTTCAAGTACTTCGTGTACTGTCACATCAACTGTACCACCTTGAACAGAACCAACAAACATTTACTGATATTATGCTATATCCCTTGAATTGTTTTAATATCATTATATTACATTTTTATCAGATACCAAGAGTAATATACCTTTTGTCTATTACAACTATCACACATACAATGCCAGACAAAGTCATATGATTGCTATTGATACTTTCATCTATATCTGCCAAAATATAAGTTTGAAATAATAATGTCTAGAGCGAGTTTTGGGTCATTTCACGTAACTATAATATACTACTGTGTAACCTTATGAAATTTGCTTTTTCTAAAAGGTATGCAGCTATATTTGGCGAATTATACTAAATAGATATCATACTCTGTGTTTTAGTGTTCTTTTCAAATTCATATGGTTGTTTTTCAAAATAGATATATCAAAGAGTGTGCCTGTTATTAAATGTAAACTATAAGAAACACATTGCTGTTGCTGTTATATTTGACAATAATAATAATAATAATAATAATAAAAATAATATTAATATTAATAATAATAATAATAATAATTATAATAATAATATTATTACAATACATATACAATACAATACAATACCGTACATATAAAAATGATTACAATAATAATTATAATAATAATAATAATAAACAAAGAATAACAACAACAACAACAACAACAACAACAAATAAACAATCGATATTGACCTCCACAGTCCAGAATAAGATAGCGTGTTCCTGCTGGAAACTTTGTCATGCCTGTTTCTGTTTGGGGATCACGTGTTATCGGAAGTTGACGACAGTAGATCGACGCAGCTTCCGGTTCCAGAGCTATCTCAATACAACTCTTCTCAATACCAGCCTATTGGTATAACAAAAAAAACAATGAAAAGACATATATGAAGTATTACAAACCTTCACGTTTGTAATGTTGCTTTTCATTGGACAATCGTGACTTCTATAATTATAGTTTTATGCACGACTGCAGCCAATTTTTGAAAGACATCTCTTTTTTTCTCTTTTTCTCTTTCTCTAAAAAAGGATCGAAGTTTAGAGTCTTATAAATTCATTGTAAAAGCCCTGACATCTTATATGCCATATATATACGGTTGTTTGTAATATAACGGCGCACGACATTTTTGTTGTGTCTATGGCTGTCTGTGTTCTTACTATTTGGCCTTTTCTAGTTGGGTGGTTCCAATATTCCTTATGGAACATTGTTGAATTACCCTTAGGATATGTTGCCTGGCTTTTAAATTTGTCTTTTGGCGCCTCATTTGTGATATGCAGGCTTTTTAACATCTGATCCCCTTTCAAAAGTCAATTTTGTTTAGTTTCGCCCATTGTTTTCTCGTTTAGTGCAAATGTGGGACCATACGCCGCTTTTCATGGAATGGCATGAAAGTGTCACATTGAACGTTCCCAATAACCGCCATATGAACACATCTGCAAATGTTTCTAAATTAAAAAAAAATCACCATTTTCATGTTTAAATGTTGAATTCTGCTTAAGCCGGTGCTAGCGGGAGTAGACAATAGTTTCCACTATGAACAGGCCCAATCAACCGAGCCTGCAACATTTTCAATTTTGCCGTTTGGACTTTCTTTGGGGATTTTAATTTTCTCTACTTTATATTTACAAACAATCGTTTATATATGGCTGTATAACCTGTCAGAAATCTCTATAACTAATAAATATATATTTATTTAAAACTATAATACACATATTTAAATATGGAATTCTCCTTAAAAAATGAAATGTTTCAAAGGGGGAATATTTTCTTTCATTCACACAAATACAAGTGCATAGATTTTCTTTTATGTTAATCATTTTACGATGAGATGTAAATTAGAAAAAACATTTCTTATTCATATTGTAAATACGGTGGCGCAGAGGTGACATTTGTGCGTTTTTATTTATCTCGTGCGCACGAGATACTATGTTTTGGCCACGAGGTACTAAGTCGCGCTCACGAAATAATAAAGTGATGCGCACGGGATACTGTATCGTGGCCACGAGTTACTTAGTGGTGCGCACCAGATAATTAAGTGGTGCGCACGAGATACTATGTCGTGCGCACGAGTTACTATGTCGTGGCCACGAGTTATTAATTGATGCGCACGAGATAATTATGTGGTGCGCACGAGATACTGTGTCGTGCGAAGGAGTTCCTAAGTCGTTCACACGAGATGATTTGCTTTTGCGCACAAGATACTATGTCGTGCGCACGACTTACCAAGTCGTAGGCACGAGATAACTAAGTCGTGGGCACGAGTAACTATGTGGTACAAACGCGATAATTAAATCTACTGGCCATGGGCAATATCCCTACCAAATAAAATAAACCATGGCTTATTCCTTCTCAGGTTATCGTATTAGCAAGATTCACAGAACGTTAGTACGTACATACTGATCAACCCTATAACACGATGGTCTCCACAAAGGACAATAACCTGGTCAAAATTAGGAAAGTGACCTCCTAAAATGGTTCTAAAGGTTAAGTGAATACCTTCAGTAGTTTCAAAGATTAATACATGTAAAACTTAAACCAAGAATTTTCTAAGATAATAAATCATATATAAAGGATAATCTGATTGATTAATTATCTTGTGCGCACGACTTAATTATCTCGTTCGCACTACATAGTAAATCGTGCGCACGACTAAAGTTTCTCGTGCGCACCACTGAGTAACTGGAGGCAACGTCATAGTAACTCGTGCACACTACTTTATCATCACTTAATTATCTCGTGCGCACGACTTAGTAACTCGTGCGCAAGTATCTCGTGCACACGAGATTAACTAAAACACACACTCATGTCACCTCTGTGCCACCGCATGTAAGATAGATATTATTGCTTATCATTACTAAACACTATCACCTTTTCAGCAGCTTTTCGCATAAACTTTTTTGCAGAATCGTTCCAAATGGCGGGAACGGTAATGACCCACGTGATATCTTTCTCTTCTACTCCCGAAAAGCTACCCTTTAGCATTCCCAGCAAATGGTCCTTCAGATACTTTATGGATAAACTGAAAACTGTCAGTGCGTCCATTTTAAGCCCATTTTCGGCAGTCAGCTTATAGTTACCATGTATTTCCTAAAATGTATTGGTTTTTACATATTGTAAATAGTGGTCGTGTAGTTTAAGTCCCATTTTTATTTCATTTTCGACGTATCTGCTTAGAGTTCGATTTTTGTTAGGATCATGTAAAGTGACATTATGCCTATCTAAGTGTAAATGGTCCGTGAACAGATAAAAATAAAAGTAACTTGACGCTTTGACATAATTGTGTCCAATTCTTTATTTTAATTTGAAAAAAAAATCAATAATGCACGAGACCAACAGAAATTTCTATAAATATCGTGGAAACGCTCGATTCCTATAAAGAGTGGGGCAGTTTTTTCATAATTTAGGAAGTTTTTATATTGAACCATAAACATTTTTTATTATCAGTTATTGGTTAGTCATCATTATAATAGCCAATCTTATGAAATGATGTAAAAAGAGCATAATGTCACTTTAATACAATTAAAAAACACTTGCCCCTTGCCGCTATGGTTTGAATCCCTGCAAGGATGCCCGTCCGTGCATGGAATAAAACACAGAGGAGCACCAGAGGTCTTTCTTAACCAGGAAAGCAGGAAATTCGCCATATTACCTTTACAGTGATGTTGTGACATACAAAAATCGACAAAAAAGTCACTGTTACGAAGTGATCGTTTATAGAAGTAAGATGGCTCTGTAGGAGCACATTTGTCTCGGAGCACATTTGTCTTACGTAAGACCAATGCGGTCGCATTTGTCCCACATGAGACAAATGGGACCTCAAATGTCTACCCCAAAAAACTCATTTGTGTGACAAATGTGCTCCGATCAAGTTTTTTAAGGGACAAGAAAGCACATTTGTCTCATGTGTTTTTAAGGGACAAGAAAGCACATTTGTCTCATGTCATTTTTTATGAATTATTTGTCACATTATTCCCACGGCAGAAATTTTTTTTAGAATCGAGGTTCACCGTTTTTACCTTATGTCAAGTGTAATCATCAATAGGTTTGCTTATGCTGTCTTTATGAAAACCTAAAGTGAACTATTAATCATAGTATCTCTAATTTAAGTAATTGATTGGCTGAACCTGAAGGCGTATACACTGAAACAAACGTAATCCCGTTCACGATGGTACAATGGTGACAGCGCGGTGGCACGATGTTACGTTGATGAAAACGCGATGGTGCGATGGTGAAACAACGATTGTACGATGGTGAAACAACGATTGTACGATGGTGAAACAACGAAGGTTCGATGATGAAAATGTGATGATACTATGGTGAAAGACGATGTTACGATGGCGAAAATACGATAGTACGATATAACTGCGATGGTATGATGATGAAAACGAGATATTATTTTCTCTATCGTGTCATCGCATCATCGTGATTTCACCATCGTGTCATCGTGTTTTAATCATCGTACCATCTCAATTTCACCTTTGTACCATTGCGCATAGCTGTTCAGGGAGTCAAAAATGTTACTTATGTCCAAACGGAACACCGTAATCGGTTGATATTGAATGATACAATATCGTGACTCGTTTTGCATCTCGCCGAAATCTCGCGTCTCGCTTCGCATCTCGTTCGTCGACGCGACAGGTCATATACCGCTAAGTAGTATTCCCTTTATAGTCTACATAAAATCATTTAAAGGCCCATTATGCCTGAGAAATGCTTTTATTTGTATTCCTTAAAAGTTTTGTATTTTTGGTATACTTTTATAGCTCCAAAAAGTTACTCATTGGCTAATTACCTAAATCATTTTTCATCTGCTGCTTTTTTGCAGTTTGTACAGTTGAAGTGATTGAGAATTTTGTATTGAAGTCAAAATACTACTTTGTTTACATTTTGCTACTTTTATGACGCATTATTTCACATTTATCGCGATTTTCATTAGATTACAAGCATCTAACTTCCTCAGAAATCATAATTTGAATATTAATAAATTCATACTTGCTCTATCTAAAGAAGTAAAAATTTATTCATTTCTGAAATCTCGTGGTACGGGATACTTCGACATTGCGAGATCTCGTGTTACAATATCGTGCATCGCTTCGTGTCTCATCGGAATGTCGCGTCTCGCACGATTCTGAGTGGTCCGATAATCCATAATTATGGCATTACCCAGATTATTTTAGGAACTCATACATGTTGTAAGTGCTTTTTCAATGGCGGATCTGAAAGCAAATGACGATTTTTACATACATATATTTCTGATGAAAACAAAATACGTGTGTAATGGTCTTCTTATTTTCTTCCATAGATCATTTAAGGGCCTCCGTGGCCGATTGATTAAGAAAAAAATACTTGTCCCTAACCGCTGTAGGTTCGACATATACACGGGGCATCGAACCATTCATCGAACTTTGCGAGGATCCCGGTCAGTGTCCAAATGCGGAATACATATCTGCGTGCGCACGTCATAGCTATCGCGTGCGCACATAATAGTATCGCGTGGCCAAGTAAAAGCTATCGTGTGCGCCCGTAATAAATAAGAAAATTGTATGTCCCTTTTATGCCACCGTAGACACTACCTTGTTTTTGCTAAGAATATTTCTAGTGCCATAAATCATTTATAAAACTTTAAGCATTGAAAATAAACGTATCACAATTGATAACGATAACAATAGACTTGCTGCATATGTGTTTAGGTTCTGGATGCTGCACTTGTAGAAATTTTCATCGTGACATGCCGAACAGGGATATTCTTTAATTTAATATAATTATGACTCCTATGCTGAGACAGGAAGTTTTTGACTGACCGGAAGTGACCTAAAAACGGTTTTATAAATACAGAAAACACAGCACAATGGCTGGTTGCCGGTAAACGGACGGGCATAATTATTACCTTTTAAGAATTTTATGGAAAAATGTGAGACAAATGTGCTTTCTATTGTGTGTCGAACACATCTGTCTCATTTCCAATTTGTCGTAAATAAGAATGTTTACGAACACATCGGTCACACTTCGTGAGACAAATGTGTTCCGAGACAAATGTGCTCCTACATGGCTCTACCACCTTGTCTACCAACTCGTATCCAAAATATGGCAAAAAGACGTACCTGGGGCCAATTTTACTCTATAACTGTAATGTTCCTGTGTTCAAAACTTACAATAAGACTTGATTTGCATTGTTTTAAATTAAAAAAAAATAGCATGTATGTAAACTTAAGTGACATATGTTAGTGTATATGCATATGCCTAGATGACAAAAATAACTCCCCATTTGAACCCATTTGTGAACGTAATTGCTTGGGTAAATTTGTTTCTGCTTCTGTTGTAGCTGTAGTGATTAAATATTCTATATGGCAGTTAATGTACTACATTTGAGCCGCTTCACGACAAAACCAACATAGTGCGTTTGCGACCAGCATGGATCCTGACTATCCAGCGCATCCGCGCAGTCTGATCAGGATCCATGCTGTTCGCTTACCAACCCTATTACAAGTAGGGAAACTGATAGCGAACAGCAAGGATCCTGGTCAGACTGCGCGGATGCGCAGGCTGGACCGGATCCATGCTGATCGCAAACCCATTATGTTGGTTTTGTCGTGACACGGCTCAAATGTTTTAAAGTGGATTGGTCTACAATAGGCACATTTTCCAAAAGCAGTTCAAATATTGACAACAACAGTAAAGTATCAATTAGATACATGTAGTTTCATGGTATATTTCTAGAAATCAACATTTTTCAGTGATTTAGTATGAACATTATTTTGATGAATAATAATATTTTACTCCATCTGCTATATATATTTATATATCATATCGGATCGTGCATTTAGCTCGTACCAACACACCCATTTATAATCATGGTTTGTTTTCACGTGTGATACTAAATAGTATTAATACTCTGAACATAATTATTACTGTTATTATATATATTTTATCGTAGACCTATTCACTTTAAATGTTAAATGTTTCGAGATACCTTATGTTGATGGAGAGTCATTTTGAATTCCCAGAAGAAATACCATTTTTCGTGCTTGCCTTCGTTAGAAAGTGCTAGATATTTTGCCTTTGCCTCATGGCCGAAAGAATCTAAAGCCTTTTTTGGTGTCAACAATAAGCATGTTGGCTGCTTCGCATTCATTTGACCTTGAGCGACATGAATTCTCAGAGGGTCAGTTCCGAATTCATGTTTAAACGAAAACGCGTAACCAGAGTTGGTTGTTCCAAAGTCAATAGCTGCAACAACAATTCCACCATTTGTTGTAACTTCTTCGCTACCACGTGACTGCCTTCCATCTGTCCTCCCAGCGCTAAATTAAGAAGAAAAAAAATCACACCACAAAGTAACAATATATGTTATGTTGGTTTTGGAGTGATATATATCCACATATATCACTCCAAAACCAAAATAATAATTTTATTACCCTTCCCCTGCCGAGTTTAGACGATTTTTAAAAAAAATCATTGCTGTTTCAAATAAAACGTCGAAATAAGATTCCCTTTAGGGTACCTCTTCATCACAACATGACGTCACATAAATACATGACGTATTTTTCCCGTACCTAACGAATGTAAACAAGAGAAAAGGAGTAGTCTATTGAAAGCACTTTTTTGTAATTTATATCAAGCTTTCACAAGGTCATATTTGTTTTCAATACTGATGGGAATTTGTATCATTACTCTACTTTGGTAAATATTTATCATTTGACAGTTAAAAAGTGCTTGTAAATCGGAATTTACACTGCGTAAAATCGAACCGTACGCGCATCACCTCAGCGCATGTCGTTTACAACGTTGGGTACCCAACGGGGAAATTTAGTGTGTATATTACCCGTCTGGCTCGGTTATATCAATTTCTTTCGGGTGATCAATATCCAATCAAAAAGGCGGAAAAAATCTGGAAGGGTAATAATAATTAAATACATGAACGTGAATACCCCTTTAAAGCGTTATGACGACTTCCTTCAAGAAACAAAATACTTAAAGTACTGATAAAAGCACAATTTTGAATTTTACAGATTTTTTTAAATTTATGCTTAGATTCGTGTCCTCAGGGGAATTAACTTTTGGCGACAGTTTATATTCTAGCTTTACAAAAGCTTCGTGTGCGTTGGGAAACAAATATATACTTGATAGCAGTATGTTTATGAAACACCCAAAATGATATTTTTAGGGGTAAAAGGAGAGTTTGATATGAAATCTGACAGGATAATTGCCTCATATGTTGGAAGCGTTTAAATAGTTGTTACCATGAACCGCCTCCGTGGTCGAGGGGTTAGAGTCGATGACTTCTAATCCAGTTACCTCTCTGGCGTGGGTTCGATCCCCGGGAGATGCTTTGGTAGTTTAGCGCGGAGGAAGGTAGTCTAGTACTGATGTAACTCTCCAGGAATGATGGTTAGGAAACTACCCGCCTATATGGCTGAAATACTTTGGAAAAAGGCGTAAAATGAAACAAACAAACAAACAAATATGATAATGTTGTCTCTTTTTTTGAAAAAGAGTATATCTGTCGTTGGAAATTTCAAGATCATTCTAGCTAGGTGTACCATGTACACTTTTATAGTTTCCATAGTTTTGATGATATATGAACCGAGATTGCAAACAATGAGCATAAGTTAAATGACCAACAGAAAAAAAATAAATACCTTTTAATGCTTCTTATGAACTTTCTGTCCATTTCTTCTAAGGGTCACTGAAATAGTCATTAATTTGTAAGTATCGTCGCAAGACTATTTAATAAAACATGTATATAGTATAAAAAAAGAGTTCGTTAAATTTAGAAAACATATATCTGCTAACACGTATTTTATACATAGTTTCTACTCTAACAAACATTCAATTTGTGTAATGTTTATCGCGTATTGTATTGAACTGCATAGTGTGAATCAATACTCTATATAGATAAGATTCATGAAACGTTACATTATGTACAAATACCATATATAATGTAGTTTATTGTAGGTAATTCTGTACAAATAGAAAATCGTCAGTACAAAATCATGAATCGTTACTATATACTCATGCACAAATTCATGAAATGATATTATATAAAATAATTTATACAAAAAGATACATCGTTATTAGATCATATGCAAACAGAAACATCATCCGTACAAATTTTTTTATCGTTAATATAATATTATAATCATGCACAAATTCATGAATTGACACTATATAATCATGTACAAATATAGTTAAGGCGTCAGTGCAAATTCATGAAACGTTTCACTATATAATCATGCACAAATGATGATGAGTAAGATACAATCTGGAACGCACCTAATGTAGATCTTCTGTAGATCTCCTGTATGTGGCGCTTCTAGATTGCTGATCGACCTCCATCATCAGCATGGTGCTCGCCGTCATTGATATTTCGGCCCTTATCCATGTATATCTGCTGGCGAGTGGGCCCACCGTCTTACGGTGTGGAGGTCGATTGCTTCCAGCTCTTCTCCTTTCGCCTCAGCCACAGTCAGCTAGACGCGCGTTCGGCAGCTTGGCTCAGTCTCTGGATTGTCCTACGTCTATCCCTCCCAGTAGTTCCTATTGCTGTCATCAGTCGGCACACAGATTGCGAACAGAACCGTCGCACACCTACTTCAAGGAAACAGCCATGTATGCCAGCCTCTCTGTCTACATTGGTTGAGTAGCTCTGTATACTTTGCTTTTTTCCTCTCGTAGGCCTCTTCACATCTTGTCTCCCAAGGTACTGTTAACTCGGTCATGATGAGTTTCTTTCCTTTTTCCGACCACAGTATAATATCTGGTCTTAAGTTGGTCTGGACAATACTTGGGAAAACAAGCTTTTTACCAAGATCCACCTCCATGTTCCAACCTGTTGCGTCATCTAGAATTGATGGTTGGTGTGGCGACTGTGTCTTGCCAGTTTCACCCGGTTTTACAAAGTTGATGTGACAAAGCTTGGGGTTACTCCTGCGTATCTTTTTCCTTTCACCTTCAAGCCAGTCAGCCACCTCCCTAAGGACGTTGTCATGACGCCATCTGTACCTTTCTTGTGTTAGTGCAGTGGAACAGAAAGAAAGGACATGCTCCAGAGTGCCAGGACGATCGCACAGGTCACAGGCTGGATCCGTTGTAAGTCCCCATCGGTGGAGATTAGCTGGGGAGGGTAAGAGGTCATGAACTGACCTGATAAGAAAGGATAACCGTAATGGTTCATACTTCCATATGTCTTCCCAAGTCAGCTTCCTGTCTATGGTGTTCCATGTAGTCCATGCTCCCTGTGCTCCCATCTCTACTGCTCTAGCCTGTATTGCACTTTCTTCTGCCCCCTGACTTCTGACTGAATCATGGCACGTCTCTCCTTCTTGTCTGCCTGGTTCCACAGGGGTGTCTTGGTAGCACCAATTCCCTGTCGTCCCACAGCGGTCATCCCCACAATGTCCTTGAGCTTAAGTGAGCTTTCAGCCTGGTTAACGGTCTCTGATGCTGACCACTTCCTGCCTGTACGGGTTACAATCCCTGCTTCCCGGATTTGCTCATCTGGGGAATCTCTGAGGGTGAGCACCAATCTTGTCTTCGCTGTCTTGAATTCCTCTACCAGTGAAGAAAATGGGAGTTGAAGCTGATTGCTCTTTCAATACAGTCCTACACCGGAGAAACTGGGTGGTATTCCTAACCACTTGCGGAGGTGTCTGCTTGTAACCCTCTCTAAGTCTTCAATTTTTGAGCTTGGTATCTCATACAGCACCATAGGCCAGATTAGCCTTGGAAGTAAGGCATGCTGGTCTAACCAGGCTTTGAACTTCCCAGGGAGATTGCTTTTATCAATTTTCTTAAGCCCGTCTTCCACCTGGTTTTCTAGCTTCTTGACATTGTCACCATCTTGCAAGCTTGCATCAAACCACTTCCCTAGGCACTTGATTGGACTCTTAGTGATAGATGGGATATCCTCATTCTGTACTCTGAGAATGAACCTATCTGTGGTTTTGCCATTCTTGATAATGAGAGATCTGGACGTTGCGGCCTTGAATTTTATTCTAGCCCATGAAGCGACATCTGTCAGGGCTGTTAACATCCATCTCGCCTGTACATGGGTGGTTGTGGTGAGAGTGAGGTCATCCATGAAACCTCGACTGGATGGCAAGTAAATCCCTGAATCTGTCTTTGGTCCACGAGTCTCTCTTAGAGCAGCGTTGATGAGTAGATTCATTCCCATAATGAAGAGTACCACGGAAACTGTACATCCGGTTACAATACCTTTCTCCAACTTCTGCCACTTTGTCAGCTGGTCACCAAAAGAGAACCGGAGTTTGATGCCATCCAAGTAGCTGGTGATGATTTTCTGCACATGGTTTGGGACATGGTAGTGTCGGAGGGCTGTGTAGATCAGCTGGTGTGGGATGGAACCATATGCGTTAGCTAGATCAAGCCAAACTACTGTGAGGTTCTTCTTCCCTGCCTTTGCCTCTCTTATGAGCTGTGAAATAGCGCTTGTGTGCTCTACACAACCTGAGAACCCAGGCACTCCTCCCTTCTGGATGGAGGTGTTGATGTACTTGTTGGATGTGAGGTAAGATGTAAGTCTTCTTGCAAGGATAGCAAAGAAAATCTTCCCTTCAACATTGAGTAATGAGATGGTCCGGAACTGGTTGACATTCTTGGAGTTCCTTTCCTTGGGAGTAAAAATTCCCTCTGCTTCCTTCCAGGCATCTGGTATTTCACCTTTCCTCCAAACCACCTTTAGAAGCCTCCATAACCTTTTCAGTAGAAGTGGGCACATCTTATACACTTTGTAAGGGATGGCGTTAGGTCATAGTAGTAACATCGTTAGAAGAAATTCATGAACTTTTACTATATAATCATTTTAAAAATATGGTGAAAACTCGGAACCATGATGCTGAAAAGTTTAAAGTTCGATGATTAAAAGTCGATATAACAAAACCACGATGGTGAAAAGTAGAAATACGATGATGAATAGTCGAAAGTAAGATGATGAAATGTCGAAATAACGAAGCAACGAAGCCACGATGGTGAAAGGTCGAATGTATGGTAGTGAAAACACAAAATTATACCGAGTTTTTCACCATCGTGTTTTCGTTATTTCGATTTTTCATCATCGTACCTTCGACTCTTCACCATCGTGGAGTCGTTATTTTAACTTTTAATCATCGTAATTTCCTGTCTTTGTTGATGTGTGTGTGTCGCGTGATGGCCCTAACGGGACACCGTAATCTTACCTGCGTGTCTTCAGCATATTACCTCAAATGCGGTCTTGGTATATATAATTAATCTTAAAGCTAAAGCTTATGTACATATTATAACTGAACGCTTCACATCAATATCAACATAACAGGACTATAAATTATTACTTGTTATCGAAACGTTATCTCAAGACCACCATAAACAAACCCTGCAAAGAGGCTCTGATTTAGCATATCGAAAGACAAGATAGTTTCTAACTTATATACGGACAATTATTATCTTAGATATGCCGTTAGAAAACTTAAATCAAATTAATAAGTAATAATACAAATGTAATAATACACACAACAAATACCACCAGCAGCAGCAGCACCACCACCACCACCAACAACAACAACAAAACCAAACAAACAGACAAAAACGCACGTACGCACACACACGCACGCACGCACCCGTGCGCGCGCACACACACACGCACATACGTAAACGTCATATATAATTTGTATCATAATTAATTTTACATTTTGCCGGAGTCGAAGGCAACCCACACCCAAATCACACAAAATACATGTTTGCTGATCTACCAAAAACCTTGTACAAATTATCCATATAAGTATCCATATAAGTATTTCTGGTGATACCCTAGTTGTTTTTCATTCTGTTCAATAACATTTTTAAGAACATGTGCCAGATCAATTATCTGAAAATGTAAAATCTGAAAACAATTTAACTATAGCAAAAACCTATCTAAATTTTAAGAACATACTCTTATCTATCAACCTTTGTTGTTGTAATAAATTAAAAAAAATAGTAAAACACTTACATTCAAATTTAAAATTGTCGAATCGGCTGTCTGTTCTATATGAAAGGATAGGAGATTTTAGCAAACAGAAAGGGGAAGTTATTTATCGATTCCAATATTTCAATTTATAGGAAATCACACTGATCATATTACATATTCGATCAATATTGACCGTGTTTTAACTTTACATTTTTAAATCGCATTATTTAGGTGAAAGGAACGTGAAGTAACAAAAGGCTATAAGAGAAAAAGGAAGTAAAAAAGTTAAAAAAATAAATAAATAGATGAATAGATAAATAAATATATAAATAAATGAATAAATAAATAAATAACCAGTTATGATATACGGCAAGGGACAAAACAATGGGTATTACCATGATATTGAAAATGTTTGTTAATTTATAACTGCTGTGTGTGTGTGTGTGTGTGTGTGTGTGTGTGCGTGTGCGTCTGTGTGCGCGTGTGCGCGTGTGCGTGAGTGTGTTTGAATTCGATCCCCGGGAGATGCTTTGGCAGTTTAGCTCAATGGAAGGTTGTCTAGTACTGGTGTAACTCTCAAGGAACGATGGTTAGGGAACTACCCGCCTATATGACTGAAATACTGTTGGGAAAAGGCATAAAACGAAACAAACAAACAAACAAAATATTTGAATATGCAAAATTGATTTGTAACGTTAGTATGGGATGGTTCGCCGACCCAGACTGATCATTTTGACGGGGAGGATAAACGAGATCACCAAT